GGTTTGTTTTTTATAGTTTAAATCTATAACAAATGTCGTATGTAATTTAATTATTCATACTAAGAACAAAATCAATTACAATATTGTTTTCACGATTCCAAAAATAATAAAAACAACCTCTAAATGTGTCATCACATGTGCATTATGTTTGTGGAATCCTTTTGATGTAAGAAACTGAGAATATTTTGGCAATAGTTGACATATTCATGCTTCTACAGTAGAAAAGCTCTTTTTTGCTTCATCTTTAAATGCATTGGGTTTAGGCAGGATAACACTTGATATCATTCTTGCAGTATTTCTTTTATATGAAACAATCGAATGCCTAAAGTGTAAGTTGTTTAAATGACACCCATGGTAGAGGCTTCCTTCAAGATATGACAACCAAGTTCAACATTGACATAAAATTTAGAAAAACACTCCACTATACCTTCCCTAAACAATGCATCTAGATTTCTGGAAACATAAGCTTTTCGTACGAGCAACCATTCACAACGATCCAAAGGTTTCAAGGCATATTGATAAAGTCAAACATTTGCAACTATAAATCTATAATTGGATGCCAAGCAAAAGTCCCAACAAGTTAAATGAAGGTGGAGAAAGTCCTCAATAGAATTGGAAATAGCGCAACGTAAAATCTCAGTTAATATATTATTTGGGAGATAAGATAATGAACATTTCGTTGCCATTAAAAACGATAGAAAAGTCTATGAAAATGATATATAATATACTAATAAAGAAACACAGAAGGTAAAGTACTGATGACCACTTGCTTTATCTTTCATATATATAGTGTCTAACATCGGATAAGATACAATTTGAAGAAAAAGAAATGCATATTTCAATCGAAGCGTTCCCATCCTACCAATAGATACTTCAGTTCACTGAGATTCTAAGACAAAATATGCCGACAATGAAAGGCGCGTTACAGGGGATGCATTTTTCCATTATTATTCAGAGAAACTCTGGATTATAATAGTGATCCATCATATCCGAAATGAAAGATGCATTCCAGGAGAAACATTTTTCCATTATTATTAAGAGAATCTCTGGATTATAATAGTGATTTATCCCATCCGAAATGAAAGATACGTTTTAGGAGAATCGTTATCCATTATTATTCAGAAAATCTCTGTCATGTCAGAGTGTTTCATCCCATCCAAAATGAAAGCCGCATTTTGGGGAAAGTATTTTCTATTATTAATTCAGAGAATCTTTATCATGTCAGAGTATTCAATCCCATTCGAAATGAAATGCGTATTTCGAGGAAAATGTTTTCCATTATTATTTAGAGAATCTCTGTCAAGTCAGAGTGTTATACCCCATCTGAAATGAAAGGTGCATTTTGAGGAAAGTGTTTTCCATTATTAAGAGAATCTCTGCCATGTCAGAGTGTTCCATCATATCCGAAACGAAAGATGCATTTCGAGGAAAATGTTTTCCTTTATTATTTAGAGAATCTCTTCCACTTCACATAATTAACATGAATTGTTCCCCAACCCTAAACATCTTAAACTATTAAATTTTAAAACTCAGTAAATCTGAACTCTCAAACGTTCAAAACTTCAAACTTTGAAACATTCAAACTACGAAAATGACTCATATTTTAGTTATTGTTTACTACAATGGAGAAATCGAGGAAGATCAATACATGGTTATTTTCTGATCAGATCATTATATTATTCTATCATTCAGGAAAAACATTACTCTTCACGATTTAATCACAAAAATCTCAAGGAAGGCTCGTGTTAGAAACAGTAGAAGACTAACCACACATCAGTACAAATTTTCGACTGAAATTTTTCCGTTAATATATACATCGTTCAATCTCTCAAATGACGATGATGTTACTATGATGGTTGATGCTTCCAGTCAAAATTTGAACTCTATTACAAAAATTATGCCACTTTTTTTGACGTACATGCAGTTCAGGTATGTCTTTCTTCTCCCACTATGGATTGCCTAAACATGTTGATCAAGTTGATAGTCCAACTCAAATAATATGTAATGATTTCACATCATTAATGGCTAACCCACATCCTATTAGCATTCCATCAAGTTCCAGGGGAAGATATTCAGCTGCCACTTTTTCTGACCTCAACATAGAGATGCCTTCCGGTTACAGGAGAGACATTTATCTGCCAATACCTTCGACCTCGATATGGTCATACCTTTTACACAACACTCGATTCATATGGTGACATCCCTTCAAGTTACATAAGAAAGCATTCATTTTCAAACTTCCTCAAACGAAATATCGAAGTCACAGAAGAACCATAATCTCATTTAGAATAACCTCTTCGTGAGCCTAGAGTAGATGGTGCTGAAACTGGATTATTCGTTGAACTCGAGTCACTGCAGTTCAACATAGACTTTGATGATGATGCGGATGAAGTTCATACAAATACGGTACAATACGAACCTTTAACACATATGTATAAAACTGATTATGATGCGATATACGGGCCAAAATTTCCTGATATGCCTCATCTTGGAGACTATGAGAGATATTCATCAGTTAATGATGATGATTTATATCATGAAATGGAGTTCACATTTAAATAAGAAACAATGATGACAATTAAGAATTACAATATTTGTAATTCAGTTCACTATAGAGTCAACCGATCTACAACTGAAAAGTATGTATATTATTGTGTCTAACGCGATAACGACTGCAACTGGATGGTTTGTGTTTCAAAGAGAAAGAAGACTGGCAGATGGGGACCAACAAAATACAGCGACCCTCATACATATTGTGCACAGGGGATCAACCAGGACCATCAAAACTTGGACTCCAATGTTATTTGTCAAGCCAATATGCCCTTAGTCAAAGAAAGCTCCCACATATCTATTGCAATGTTGATTTCTGTAATACAATCTCAATATGAGTATACTGTCTCATATAAAAATGCGTGGAAGGCAAAATAAAATGTCATTATAAAACTACATGGCGAATGAGATTCATCTTACAACGAAGTACCCAGTTGGTTTAACTTGGTCCAATGATTTAATCCTGGGACAATAGTTGAGCTCGAAACTCGTCACGCCTACCACAATGATAGAGTTCTTCGAGATCACTGCCAATTTCACCGTGTTTTTTAGACTTACCCACAATGCATTAATGCAGTCAAATACTGTAAACTCGTAGTCCAAATTGATGGTACATTATTGTATAAGAAATACATGCAAGTTTTATTATTGGTAGTTGTCCAAGACGGTAATTGTACTATTCTTCCCGTTACATTTGCCCTTGTTGAATGAGAAAATACATAGTATTGGGCTTTTTTCCTAAGAAATCTATGGCTACATGTCATCACCCGTGATCGTATTTGTATCATTTCAGATCGATGAGTTGAGATCAAAACAACAATGAACATTTTGGGTCCAATATGGAAACCCCCAAACGTCCAACATCGTATCTGTATCAAAATATTATTGCAAACTATCATTGTAGATATAAGAATAACGATGAACGATAATTAATTATACGCATGAGTATGTTACATTTTCCCCAATTTCATTTCTCACTCATTTTCATTTTTTTTATACTAACTACTTCATTTTGCTTAGGTTACAAACTCTCACCTCAAACGTTTGAGGATATGCTTCAAGAATTGATAGAAAAAAGGATTATGGATACAATTATATCAATGAAATCAACAAAGAAAAGTGACAAACATATACGATGGTGGATAACAATATGGATATATGATAACCAACTTGGTTGAGACAATCAATTCAACCTTAAAGGGGGTCGTCATTTACTAGTGATTGCTTTGGCTAAAACGACATATTTTTGTTTGGGTTAACTTTTTTCCAAGCTTGAGGGACAAGCTCTTACTTGGATACAAAACTGTCATGTTTATCACCCACGATTAGTAGCAGATTTGTAACAAAATGTTACAAGATTTGTAACAAAAGGTTACAACATCAAACAACATGTTCGTAATAAGCTTTTCTAGCACCCAATAATTATATCGGGTCATAGAAATGCCACAACCCTTGCAAAGGATTGAATCTAACTCTTTCAGAGTTAATCTACGGGAAAAATGTTGTGATTGTGGGTTTTTCCAAGCTTTGAAGTATCCATGCTCCCATATCATAACAACTTGCTCATTTTCTCGTCAAGACTCTAAGCGTTATGTGGATCTCGTATACCAACTTTATAAAGTATTCAAGATATATGAATATGAGTTTCCCCCATATGTAATGATAAAGACCCAAATGAGGTTTAGACTTGGCTTCCAATTATATCTAATATGAACTTATTAAGGGAGTTAGGTCATCCAAAATCCACTCAAATTCATTGTGATATGAATATTCAAGAGACGTCAAGACAAAACTTAAAGATGTGACCATTGCAGAAACCCCGACCATAATAGAAAAAACTGTCAATCTCTTTTATCATCACGTAACTGTTGACCACCACTCAAGTAATCATATCATCTTATGTTTCAACTTATGTTATTCCATTTCCTTTTAGTTTCGATTAATGTGATTTCAGGTTTTTTATTTCTTAAATCTATGTATTTTTTCCAATTAAATGTTTAACGTTTATTTCTTACAATTTTACATACAACTAAAAACACAAACATCCTAACGCACAACCAATTTTAAACTTCTTTAAAAATCCTAACCATACAAATATAACCCAAGCCACTAATCAAAACCTTAAAATCATCTTAAACTAAAACTTTAAACCTAAAACCGTCGATCAAAAAAGACGCGTAGCGTAGGATGTGCCATTCAAGGGAGGCGTGTTTCCTAGGACGCGCTTTGAGAGGCACGTTTCATGCGACACGTCTTCTCTTCCCCCTACCAAAGGCACATTACGTGCACAACGTCTCATTCTATCTTTTAAAAAAGGGTGTTAGATCGAAAAATAGTTAGTAACATGTCTCTTGTAAGGTGAATTTTGTAAGGAAGGTGATTTTTTTTTGGTTCAAAACACCGTTGCTTTGTACTTAACCCATTCTCTTTCGTTCACCGTTTCTTTTCCGGTCTTTCTCAGTATCTTTTACCTCGTCTACATCTACTAAACTCTGTTTTGGCACTCCGTCTTTCTCTTCTTAAATTTAATTCCCAGCTGTTTTCAATTTCAATCTCATCATCAATCTCTTAAACTTCTCCATTTGCAATAATTTAGCAGCACAGAGGAGAGGTCTCTCTTTAGTCCTTAACCTCCTCGCCGGCGCGTGGTTTCCAGATGTTGAGAAAATCAAACTCCTCCCATGAGCTTGTTACAACCTTTTTATTCGTTGCTACTTTTTGTTTGGCTTCGTTTTCACTCGCTCAACAACAACTACAATTCTCTGAGTCGGATCGATTCGATGCCGACGCGGACGCCGGAAACGGCACCGTTTCAAATGTTTCTTCCGTTACTAAACCGAAGGAAGGTTCCTTTGCTGCTATCATCGATCGTGCTCTGGAGAAGGAGTTCAATGAGAGCGAACAAAACGAAGGTTCATTTTCTTTTTTTTCCCCTCTGGTTTTGCTTAGATTAGGGATTATATAACAAATCCATACATCTGATCTGAACTTTAATAGTAAAGTGTTCATCTTACTATAGCTGTTTACTTCAAATTTGCTAGTTCTTTATAAACTGTAGCAATTAATTATTATTGATTTTCGAAGATTTTTGAGCTCGATCTATTTTTAGGTTATGATTTTTTTTGTCAGTGTAGGTCTATGAGAGCTTAATTAGTGAGAGTGTATTTGCGTAACTTCCGGAGAATATATTTGCTAACTTTTTATTTAAATTATAATTGTCGAATATAGTCTAAATTCATCCCGATTTGCAGTTAGTGACGACGCTGCAAGTTTCAACAACAGTGTAGCGGAACAGCAGGTTGGTGGTAATCATTCTTTTGAGAACTTTTCAGCTCGGATGACTTGCTTGCTTATTCTCTTTTATGTGTATGTTTATCAGGCTGTTTTGGAAACTGTTGCTAGAGTTAAGACGAAGAAAAATGATACAAAAGAGGAAAAGTATGTGTTTCTCCTCATCAATGATTAGATTTACTTTGTTGATTTTGAGTTCTGATTAGATGTTAATAGAAGAGCTTAATTTCCTATTTTGATGATCAATTTTTTTAAGGAATTTAATACCATATCTTCTTTTTAATGACTTAGAGACATGTAGTAGTTTCCTCACACCCTTTGCATCCTCCTTTTAGATCATTTCAACTCCATGACGTTTTTAATCTAGAGAATGATAATAGAGCTGAAGATACACCGACGTTGATAGATCGAAAGGTTAGATTGGTTCATTTAAAACTTTATGTTGAGATATTTTTTCCGTACATAGAAATCTGAGGCGCTGATTTATTTTCAGGACAATGTCTTCATCATATCTAATTTTAAATCAAAATACCCAGTGTTACAACTGGACTTGAGGTAAATACTTTATCATATTCGTTTCACCATAGTTGTATTTTTATGTTCAACAAATAAGCTGATATAAACTTTCTTGCTTATGAACTGTAGACTGATATCAGATTTGGTAGTTGTCATCGTTTCTGCAACTTGTGGTGGCATTGCATTTGCTTGTGCTGGACAACCGGTCTGATTTTATTAATATAAGCCTATTTAATCTTTGATTTGAATTTTTGGTCCCTCTAGAGTGTCTTGGATTTCTAATTTCCTATATATTTTATTGTTACATGTTTTACAGGTGATTACTGGATATTTGTTGGCAGGATCTCTTATTGGACCTGGAGGCTTTAACTTTGTCAGTGAAATGGTGCAAGTATGTTGTACATTTCATTTAAATTTTACTATCAACACTGACACCTTATTTATTAAACTCTTTGTAACTGAGCCGAGTGATGGCTTCTTGATCATAATGCCATTGTTCACTCTCTTGCATGGAGCCTTTATTATGAAAAAGGACTGTTTTCTTTTTAATTTGCATTTCTTCATCTTATTTAATATTAGTTATTATGATTCTCATAGAGTTCATCTGAAGCCTGCCTAAACAATCCACTGCTCTTATCAGTCTGTACTTGTGAAACCTGTCTGTCTTTTTTCCCTTTAATTTCTTTAATTTTATATGTGCGTATTGTATTACAATTGGTACCTATATCAAACTAGGGAAATAAATAAAAATAACATAGATGAGGTTTTAAGTTCCAGTAAATAATATTATGGTCTGATTAGACTCTGTTTTACTGTTGCTAGCAACTGCAATTGAATTGTGTATTGTTCTTGAGGATGGCCAGAGTGATCTCATTCTATTAGAGGCTGTTCCATTTAAAAATGTTTGTTGGTTATTCATTATTCTAAGATTTTATTATTTATTTATTTTCTTTCATTTGAATCATGCAGGTTGAAACAGTAGCTCAGTTTGGTGTGATTTTTCTTCTTTTTGCATTGGGCCTGGAGTTCTCTGTTGCGAAGGTTGGATTATGTCTGTGAATCTTTTCTTTTCTATTTGTACGATACTCTTTACATCAATCTTCATATCATTTCTCTAACTTCATCCTTTTTATTTTAAGCTTCGAGTTGTTCGAGTAGTTGCCGTTGTAGGAGGGCTACTGCAGATAGTTCTATTTATGTGCCTCTGTGGAATTACAGCCTCAGTATGTCTATTAATTTTGACACCAATTCTGTATTGGTTTTGTTTCAGTAATCCTTATTAATTGATGTTACCGCCTTCACCTGAATCTGATTGCACTGAGGTTGCATAATTTTTATCTAGTTATTGAGGTTTCTTGTATATCTGGGTCATAATGAGGTTTCTTGTATATCTGGGTCATAATGAGGTTTCTTGCTGTTGTGCTGTTCAAATATTTTCCTCTTTCTTGACTTAAAATCCAATTTTTGGTTTGCCTTTTCTTTTTGAAAAAAAGAACGGTATGCATTCTCTGAAAATGATTAAGGTACATGCTTCATGTAAACATTTTATCTTTCTTTATTTTATTGTATTTATGGACCATTGTATACGACAATTGTAATTCTGAATCCCACAGTTTCAACTTTTAATTGGGTGCTGTTTGCAGTTATGTGGTGGTAGACTCCCAGAGGGTGTATTTGTTGGTGTATTCCTTTCAATGTCTTCAACAGCAGTGGTAAAGTTTAGTGGAAATCTTTAGAGATGCTTACGGCACCTATGCACATTCATACTTTCCTCACTAACGAGCAAGCATTTTTATGCACATCACACATGAGTTTAGACACCCGCACAGTACTTGTAGAGACCTTTATCTTTGTTTAGTAGAATTGAAAGCTATCAAAAAAGGCTTAGAGGTATTTATATCTTCAGCATGGTGTTCGAAGGGTAGGTTGATTGTTGAATCAGATTGTAAGTCGGCAGTGGAATGGATTAAATCTTCTTCAGCTCCTATTTTATTTAAAAACCTTGTAAAAGACATTGCGTCTATTGTTTCAGATAATGATTTTATTCTTAGATTGATACCTAGGGTTAGTAATTGTGATGCTGATAAGCTAGCAAAGGAGGGGATTGGGATGAGATTATATGTAATTTTAGAGAACAGTTGACATGCTGTTTGTTTAAGTCTTATGTAATAATGTTTGTATTAATAATATAATGTGGTACTCTTTTTCCTCCTTCTGCTAGTTGGTCTTTTCCTTAGGGAATTGGACTACTATGAGGGAGGTTTTTAATGAGGCCTCCTACTTCTATCAAAAAAAAATCTTTGTTTAGTTTTTGGTTTTTAAAGTTGCTTTTCTCTTTTTCGATGGCAGGTACTTAAATTTTTGATGGAGAAGAATTCTAACAATATGCTTCATGGCCAAGTCATCATTGGCACACTTATCCTGCAAGTATTGATTCTTCACTCCGTTGTCGTCTTTTAAGTTCTGTTTTGCTTTTTAGATTTTGTCCGTGACATGAACTTTTTATCATTGCCTGTGTCCTTAGCAGTTTTTAACTTTGCAGGATTGTGCTGTGGGATTACTATTTGCGTTGCTTCCAGTTCTTGTTGGAACTTCCGGTATTCTTCAAGGAGTAATGTCCATGACTAAATTGTACGAGGAAAACTTGCAGAACTATCATATTCCGATTTTGATCTGGATCACTGGATAAATAACACTCTTCATGTCTTTTAGATGCCACAAAAGTTGAAAATATGCTACTAAAGACTAGGCTTAGCTTTTAAGCGAGGGTGTGGCTCCCCACTCTTCGTTCATCTGCAGTTTTTTCCTGAAACTTGAAATATAGATCATGCTTAGATTCAAATATGAGCCACTTAGACAGGTTTCTTTGACCAGATCAGAAGTCATAGATAATTATTGTTTTGACGCTTTGTGCTTGTAATGGTACAAGAAGTAGACACTTGGCTTTGGATTAGAGTTAAGACTATAAGTTCTTGTTTTCCCTTGATATATTTTTCTCTATTCATGGCATCTTCAGTATTGAGATAAGTTTTAACACACTATATATTAACCAGGTTGGTCACATTGGCTGCCTTTTTGGCTGTTTTGTCAATATTGTCTCGTACTTGCCTGCCTTGGTTGCTTAAACTGATGATAAGCCTTTCATCACAGGTATATATGTTATCTGCAGATAGAATTGCATACTGATTTTTTTCCCACTGTGTGCTGGTCTTCTGTTATGATTTGTTTAATTACTTATTATATGTGCAGACCGATGAACTCTATCAATTGACATCTGTGGCGTTCTGCTTACTTGTGGCCTGGGTATGTTTTGTGTTTCTTTTTGGTTTGTTTTCTTTTTACTTTCACTTTGTTAAGCATCTGGATTTTTGTATGCAATATCCACATCTACACCCCCTTTCTTCCAAATCTTGTGTTTGTTTTATCTGTAAAAAAATGCCTATTATACCACTGTCCCTTCTTTTAGGGACTCATGAACAGCTGACAAATCTAAAACATATAAGCTCCTATGTAATATTAATGAGGCGCATTAATCATGTAGTGATATCTGCTTGAGATTCAGAGAGTAGAAGTACATAACGATACATGCTCAACTAGTAAAATCATTAGTTTAAGGTATACAAAACACAGATAAATCATGCAGTTTCTGATTTGAGTGTTTTGTACATTGTTGCAATAAATTAGTCAGTTAGATATCTGCATTTTTTTTTAAACTCATACTTAATTGATTGTGTAATTTTCAGTGTAGTGACAAGCTGGGGCTGAGCTTAGAATTGGGTTCATTTGCTGCTGGAGTGATGTTATCAACAACTGATCTTGCCCAACACACACTTGAACAAGTTAAGATCATGCTTTACACACTTTTTCATATCATGATATTGCATTCATTTATATTCGATGCTATTATCAGCTCATCCTTCAAGACTTCCCTCAATTGAATTTAGTCTCTGTGTGCAGATCGAACCCATTCGGAATTTTTTCGCTGCACTGTTCCTGGCTAGCATAGGGATGCTGATCAATGTCCAGTTTCTCTGGAACCATGTTGATATCTTACTTGCATCTGTTATTCTGGTTATCACCGTAAAAACAATAATAATTGCCTTGGTTGTCAAGGGTTTCGGTTACAACAACAAGACTTCACTGCTTGTAAGCTAATATGTGATGCACACCTGATTATGTATTGCCTTTGAATTTTGAAGTAACTCGAGTTCTTTTACTTGTACAGGTTGGAATGTCCCTGGCACAGATAGGAGAATTCGCTTTCGTTCTTCTCAGCCGTGCTACAAATATCCATCTCGTTGAGGTCAGTACTACTATCCGAGTTCATTGTACTGTTGCTTTGAGAAGATGGGTAATACTTTGTGGGCATTATGATCTTCTCCATAACTGAAACCTTGAGATTTCCAGGGTAAACTGTACCTGCTACTTCTTGGGACAACAGCACTTAGCCTGGTATGATTTATTCCTGGCTCGATTCGTATACCGTCTCATTGACTATAAGAAATTCAAACTTACGAAAACAACAGAAATAAATCCGAAAATGCATGCAAATGTAATTATGGTTGTTTTTTATAGCAAAATATTGACAGTTTCAACTTCCATATCCCCAGGTGACAACTCCTCTGCTGTTTAAGCTAATCCCTGCCATACTTCATCTCGGGGTGCTCTTACGGTGGTTCTCCCCCGAGAGAGAAAGCTCGATCGAGGTAAGTACTAGTCTCATACGTGCTAAGGATCACGTCTAACTTCCATTGCTAAATTTATATAAATTTTGTTTTCCAGCTTGGGATTAAAGGAGAGAACCTCCGTTCAGACAGCCTCCGTTCAGACAGCGGAAAGCATCGCTTTACGTTGATGGCCGAAGAACCCCATGATTCATGATTATTAACGTGCAAGTAAAACTAATTGAGAAGAAAAATCTCCATTACGAACTTGATCGACCGTGTTTTGTCACGTTGCAGATGAAGTTTACCGAATGGTCTCGTGCAACAAAGTCCGCTTTTTATTTTTCATTTTTGGTTTACTAACCCTATTATATTTGATTAACATTGAATTGAGCCTCCTAAAAGCAAGCCAACAGCACGAGGTAACTCTTAACTGTTGAACTAATGTCTTGTAATCATTCATTTTTTTTATCTTAAACTCGGTATTGTTTCAAGTTCTGCTGATGTATTATATATACTGTGATCACTTTCTCAATGTAAATGGTTTATTTTTTTGTTCGGTAATTATCAATCGCCATTCAACTGAATGGTAAGGCGTTAGATACCGCAAGAAGAGACTTTTGTCCCTCGTTTAAGGGCCTGAACCTGCTAAGAGTCCACGTGGTTAAAGGACACCTGGGAAAAAATTCTTTGTGCTGCCCACGGCTATGGTGGCCCTAATTAACCTTTTTGAAACCATGACCGGAGAAACACTCGAGTCCCCGAATTTACAAAATCCCCATTTAACAATGTTAAAATCCAGAACAACCAAAAATGGAATAACAATGAAAAAGGTGATGGCAGTGGGGAGACGTCCAAGTAACCTTTCAACATCCAGGTAAACAGTTAACGTGTCAGCTATGATTTATGTCACACATCTTTTACTACGGGTAATTGAGTGATTAATTTGTAACCAATCGATAATATTAGTGATTAATTTATAACATTTTAAACATCATTGAGGAAAAAGAAAATTATCCGAAACATTACTGACCAACTGTGTAGTTTACCCAAGTAAAAAATAAGTAATAGTTTGGTGATCAATTGTGTAGTTTATTTTTATTATATCCTAAAAAAATGGCTCACAGCCCGACATATATATTATAAAATCTTACCGCACAAATATTCCCCCTTTTCGTCCTCTAGGGTTTTCTCTAACATAAAATGGCGGACGAAGCACAGTACTCTTCAGGTTTCTATGCCGGCAGCAACAAACGTAAATACGATGAAGAAGCACCGCCGTCTTCCGGAGGCAGGAGGCCTACAGGTTTCTCTCCCCAGATTCGGCCTCTCTTTCCTACAACAGCGTTCCGCCACCGCTCGACGGCATCGAGATGGCCAAGCAGCGAGCTCAGGAGATTGCTGCTCGCCTCACGGCCTCCGTCGCTTCTGCTGTCGCTGAGCCGAAGCGTCCTCGTGTTGAAAATGGCTCTGGCGGTGGCTTTGATTACGAGAAGGGATTTAGCTCTGCTCCCTCTGGTATATTTTTTTGTTTTAATAATGAAAACTTCATTCTTTAAGAAGATTGTTGCATCTAGGATTTTTGTATTTAGAGTTTCGAGCTTTTAATAATGTTAAATATCTTTTGACTGCTGCTCTTTGTACGATACTTACAGTTTAGATATGATTTTTGAAAATCGATGCATATCGTTATGAAATTAGAAAGTGTCGATATTATACATATACATAAAACCTCTTTTCAATCTTCAAAGAGATAGTTGCTTCTAGGATTTTGTGTTGATCTTCAAGCTTTTGACTGCTGTTGCTTGCATGATGCTTATAGTTTAGATATGGCTTTTGAAAGAAGATACATAGGGTAATGAAATTGAAAATTGATGTTATACAGATATAAAGCCTATGTCGAACTCCGCTCCTCCAGCTATACCTGTTTCATATGGTAGCTACCACGGTAGTAGCAAAAAGATTGGCATTCCTCAAAATAGGGTTGGTGTTATAATTGGGAAAGCTGGAGAAACCATTAAATATCTTCAACTACAATCTGGGGCAAAGATTCAGGTCCAAAGAGATACACATGCAGATCCTAATTCCGTGAGTAGGCCTGTAGAGCTTGTGGGTACTGCTGAACAAATAGCTAAGGCAGAGCAGTTGATAAATGATGTTCTTGCTGAGGTACTTCATCCTACCTTTCTTAATTATTTATTTCAAATTGATGTATTGCTGTTACGCAGAATATGAGCAATATGATTTATATACCCTTTAATGTTTTTGTCAAGGCTGAAGCAGGGGGTTCTAGCATGGTTTCTCGACGAATGACAGGACAGACTGGAAGTGAACATTTTGAAATGAAGATTCCAAGTAACAAGGTATACCAGTGTTATAGGATTACTGAACTTCAATGGCTTTGATTGAATATAGCATTAATACATGCATGATTTCAGGTTGGTCTGGTGATTGGTAAAGGTGGTGAAACAATTAAAAGTATGCAAGCTAGAACTGGAGCTCGCATTCAGGTTTGAATCTCAGTGTCTTCTATATTTGAAGTTATTAGGAACTAGATACATCACCGGTTTGTATCAGATAACTTTTAACAGGCTTTTCTGTATTCTAATAACTTTGTTCACTATTTTCTCTTTTGAGTCTTGTCATAGTTGCACTTAAAAGTATGTTTTGCGACTGATCTACATCTTTATTTGTGCAGGTGATACCATTGCACTTGCCCCCAGGTGATGCATCAACAGAAAGGACATTACACATAGATGGGACAAGTGAACAGATTAAAAATGCAAGAGAATTGGTTGATGAGGTCATAAGTGAGGTATGTTTGGATAAGGGTGTTGGCAGGAAAGCTTTTCCTCCATGTAAATTATGCCTGCCCCTTTTATATGAATCGCTTGTGCGTGTTTTGTACTGTTAACATGTATGCCTACCGCAGTAGATTCCTTTAGTTCTATGCCAATTTATTGTCATTGTGCTTAATTTGACTTTGATTGTTGATTTATTTTGATCTGTTGGCTAGTCTTTACTACAACATTAGTTATGATGGGATATTTGAAATTTCACTTTTATTGAGTCTTTCAACGTAGGTTAAGAAGTTACATTGTTTAGTATTTTGTAGGGTTATTCCTTATATTTTTAATTGCGGGCAAAACCATTTTTCTTTTATGGGTAAAGTAGGGACTAAATTGCTACTCTATCTTGTGTTAATTTTTCTTAAATATATATTATTGTATAACCTTTCAGTCATTTTCCTGGTCAATATTCTGAAGCTTCCTCCTTTGTTTATCAAAATCATAGATTTTCTTATCCATCTATATACCTGTTGAGGAAGAATATGACTTTGCTCATGCTGGTTATGCTATTTCTTCAAGTATTATGCTGAATAATTCTCCTAGAGTTGCTTCTGCAATCCCATTGTAGTTATTCAGTCTTTTTGAGATATAAATTGGATTTTATATTATCATATATTCCTCTTCTTCCCTTTGTTCCACTTGTAAAATCTTGAGGGTTGCAGACATTTTTTGGTGGCGACCCTTGTTGCTATGACAGCTGGTTGAGAAATTGTTGTAGGTGTCAAATGACCAAATGAAGATGAGCAGGTCCTCTACTTTGTAAGAATGATGGTTATTGTCCTTTAGTTTTCCTGAAGTTTTGATAAACTATTGAAGTTATATATAACCATAAAGGAGGAAGTCTTTGTTCATGTTGTGATATCCTAACATAAATTGAGTCTGACCACAATTCAATTATCTTGTCTAAATGCAGAATCATTATACACGTAAATGAGTATATGATCTATAATGCTTTTTGCCTCGCTTTGGTTTGGAGAATTCGAGGATCAGTTATCTGTGATATCATTTAGTCAATGCATGTTTATTGATCTTTCTAGGTTGTTATTACTTATTTGATACTTCTATTTGTTACAATGCATCAGTTCGATTATTGGATAGATGATTTATAGTGAACTGTGAGTTTCTTGCCTGTATACGGCAATGGGGTTCGTAGTTTCTTCTGTTATGGTGTAAAAGCTTCTATTAGTACTTGTTGGGTTCTTTTTCTTCTTTTTGCACCCATTCACTTCAAATAGGGAAATGATGGGCTTCTGCTGGAGTAAACTCAATAATCCTTCCGACCATACGGTATGTGGGCATTATAATCTTATAGTTTATGCTATAGTACAAATCCATTAAATCCACTGGACATATTTTGCTTATTTTTGTTGTTTTATGCTGATATTGATACTTGCTATTCAGATATTTGTATATGTGCCTGTTGTATATAAATGCATATTCTATTATGCTGAATGTGTTTATGTGCCACCGTAATCGGGAAGTCCACTTTGGTTAATTTGAGGAAACAATTTTGTGCAGAACCGTATGAGAAATCAAACAATGGCTGGGGTATATTCACAGCAAGGTGGCTATGGGGCACAACCACCCTCAAGCTGGGGCCAAGGTGCTCCTCCAATGCAGCAATCTGGTTATGGTTATATGCAGCCTGGGGCATATCCTGGCCAATCACCACAGCACAACGTGTCACAGCCTCCTTATGGGGGCTATCCTTCCCAAGCATCATCTGGTGGATATGCCTCTGGTTGGGACCAGTCATCCGTACCACCAAACCAGCAAAGCTCTGGTGCAAGTGGTTATGATTACTATAACCAACAGCCTTCTTCACAGCAGCAGCAAAACCCCGGTGATTCAGCAACTCCGGCCAATAACAGTGGCTACAATTACAGTCAACCTCCTGCTTCTAGCTATATGCAACCAGGACAAGGATATTCTCAGGGTGGCTATGGTGGCTACCATGGGGCCCCGCAATCAGGTTATGGGCAGCCATCATCATATGATCAGCAACAAGGTTATGGTAATGCAACGAATCCTGTACAAGGGGATTCAGGCCAGGCACCTACATCTACCCAACCATCTGCAGTGGGCCAACAAGGAGGTACTCAATCTAGTTACGGGATGCCCCCTACTTCCCAAACTGGCTATGGGAACCAACCACCAGCTCAGTCTGGTTATGGAACTGGATATGGCCCACCACAATCACAGAAACCTTTAGCCAGTCCCCCCGTGTATGGGCAGGCTCAACAGTCACCTATCACTCCAGGAAGTTATTGCCAGCCAGGATATCAATCACAGCCACCATCTTCTGGTTATGGTCAACCATCAACCTATGGTGCCGCATCTGCTCAGCCTGGATACGGAGCCCCATACCATGGAGCAGCGGCAGCCAACCAGCCTGGTTATGGAGCACCTTATAATACCTCATACGGTGGCAGTTACTTGCAACCTCCAACATATCCTGCTGATGAGAATGCAAGCGGTGGCACGCATGGAACTTACGAAGCAGCCCCATCAACTAAAACTGGTGAACAAGGAACTGCCAAGGCATCGCCCCAAAGTTGATTTGGGTTGGAGGTGAGTTTGTTGAATGCAACTTTATAATTTTGGATATGAAGCTTGATGCTAAATGGTTAATTATATTGCAGTTA